TTTTTTTGTGTTTTCTCTTTGCTTCCACATGCATCAAGTTTAATTGAATTCAACTACTTGGTTCTTTAAACGGGAAGCAACGAAAAGATCAAAAGAGAACAAGAAAACTTGAAACGAATTGACGGTACGGAGGTATCTGTACTCTTCCCCTCTCTTCCCACCTCCTCCAACGAACGAGCAGACTTGAAAGCAAGACTTAACGTGTCTGAAAGGGGACTTAGTCTGAGCCTGGATATGATTTATAGGAGAGAAGGATATCTAGAAGAACTTTCAAGTATGTCGAGTAGTCGTTTTGCAACTTTTTGGCCGGTGAAGGTCGAATAGCAAGTATACGATTGATAGCTCGAATTCGACTAATCACCGCAATACTTATAAAAAAAAGGCGTGAGTACTAGGTACTCATGAAATTTGATGTGTAGGCATATGCGAACGGCAAAGCATAAAAGTACGTTTACATATAAATATAATCACAATCAAAGCTCGTTAGCTGTCAAATTGGTTGTGCTTGTTATTCACACAACTCGATAAATAAAAATTTTATGCTGAAATACGCATGCTCAGCCCTTCGAAATTTTGTGCTGAGATATGCGTTACAGCTTCGCAAATTTTACCCCTACCGAAACCAAAGATGCATACACATCAAAAAAAGTGTGTTAGCACCATTTTCAGGTCTTCATGAGATATCTTGAAGCATGCTCTATAGGTCTCTAAGTTTTTATACGCATTGTTTATAAGTTTCTTTAGTTTACAAATTTTGTTGATACTTACTTTGGTCTTTGTGCTTCTGTACAAGATATCAAAATAACGCAGCACGATTCATTTGCATAACAAATTCAATTAAGGTAAATTTTATTTGTTCTTCCTTTTTACAATTTATTAAGCTAAAGTGTGAAAAAAATTCCGCTTTAATATATGTATGTATATGTATATTTTACATTACATTCCTTATTTTTCCTTAGTGTTTTATATTTTGTGAAAATTATATAGAAATGTAAATACGCAACTCTCAAAAACTTAAAAAGCGGTAATTATTTATATTAAATTTAAATAATTACTTTCCTAATTTTAATATATCTTAATTGTGTTTTTTTTATTCCTAATTGTATCTTGGTTTAAACTTTTATTTAAGAAGCTATTGCTATTATTTCATTTCTTTTGTTTTAAATATTAAATGACATTTAAAATGTTATTGTGCATTTCTTTTAAGTTTTTCTCTGCTATGTTAAATGATACACTAACAAACCTCCTTTAGTTCGGTCCTTCTTCACATTGTTTTTATTTTGCGTATTCATTAATGTGTCATACAAATGTATATTTACATATATGTATTAGTACGTTATATGTGCATATATATACATGTTTATGCAAGGTCTTTCGCACGAACGCAGAATTTTGAAATTATAACAGTTTCATACATTTTTGTCAATTCTTTAACTTTTGCGTGGAATTTTTGAAATTGCATAACTTATAATACAGATATTTAGCGTAAGCTCCTTTTTGTACCGCTTATCCTTTTTAGAAAATTTTGTAACGCATCTTGATTAGCTATGTAATTTTCGAAAAGTTATAAGACGCGCGTCAAATTTATAGAACAACAGTAATGATCTCAGTCTAAATACCCTTAAAAACTCTACATTCGGTTAATATTTTAATTGCTTCGAGAATTTCGACAAAGTTTTGCAACCTTAATTAGTATATAACTAAACCGATTGGCGAAGTTTAAGTTTCTTAAATCCAGCATTTGGATTAGGGACTTTTTAGTATATATAAACTCTAGTATAGCCGGGGAAGTTGCTATCGAGTAGAGTTTTTTCCTTAAACAAACAGTGCTAACGATAGATCAATTCTAACTTAGCCTTTCACGTGAAAATAAATATGTCGCAGATTTTAATAAATCGAATTACAATAAGATTAATTTCCTTTGCGTTCATTACATTTCAAATCAATGCGTTTGTTTAAAATTAATGAATGAAATTGAATTTTTTTAATTAAAACAATTCCACCAAACTGATAAATACTACATAAATATGTGTATGTATATACATTATTTTGCAAGTAATTTTAATCCAAAATTTAAGTAGATATGATAAACGATTGATTCCTAAAAGAAAGAACATTATATCAGACAGAGTCAGATCAGAGTTTTAATTTGCCTTTTAACCTAATACATTAGTAATTTTTCATTTGCTTTAATAGAAAGGTATAAATTCTATATTTCAAAACAACACATGGAATCCTATGGTGGTATGTAATATTCAAAATAATTTTTTCGCAGTTCTGTACTGAAAATGAAAGGGTACATCCTTGATAAATGATAATCAATTTGTATTCACGAAGTGTTTTTCTAACTACATAGTATATAAGTTAATACACCATTCATACGCATTTTGATGTATTGCTGGTGCTCTTCGCTAATTAATTATTTTACATTTCCGTGAATAACAATTTTCGTACGCTCAGACATACATATGTATAGCCTTATTAGACGCGAGACTGACGGGCATGCTTATGCAAATTAACTAGCACACAAATGCGCTTAATAATTTTGCCGTAACAGACGGCAGTAATGCGGACCCACCGCAAGGGCGTGGGTTCGAGTCCCACGGCCAGTATAACTTTCATTTATTTCTTTTTTATTAATTTTTTTATAAGTTCTATAATTTCGTTGCTTTTAGTTAGTTGATGTTGACTTTCTTAATAAAATTTAATTTTAAAATATTAAATTAACTAATAGTAAAATAAAAAATGAGATATAAAATAAAACAAATGAAAATAGAATAAAGTAAAATTAAATATATAAATCAAATAAAATAAAAAATAAAATAAAAACAAAATAAATTTTAGCAATCGCTCCAACCGAGGATCGAACCTGGCAGTTACGGGTATGTAAATTCTCATCACTTGGCTACCGCGGACGCCAAACTCGCCTACTTTGTTTGGTTAAGCCTGATATACAGTTCAATGCGAGCGTGAGCGTGAGCTTTTTATTTTGATCAATATCTTCGTTATTACTCAACTTTTTGCAATAGTTAATACATCAAAAGATAGAGAATTAAAATATCTTTCAGAATTACAGAATAAAAACTAATTTAAAATGCATAATATGCGTTTTTTCGAGCTCACATATCGTTCGCATGCGAATGCTTTGCGTACGCACACAGTTGATATTATGCATTTTAAATTAGTTTTAATTCTATAATTATGAAAGATATTTTAATTCTCTATCTTTTGCTGCATTAATTATTGCAACAAGTTAAGTAATAACGAAGATATTGGTCAAAATATAAAGCTCACGCTCACGTTCGCATTGAACTGTATATCAGGCTTTACTTGTACAAAAGACAACAGCTGACCGTTTTTGCCAGTGTTGTCATCGAAAATACCCCTGATCCGAGTTAATTCTCAAAAATTTCGTGCATTTGTTCGGCTGCTTATACGGTTGACAAACGGGCTCGATTATTTGCATAAGAAGCCTTTATTTGCTTTTACTCATGCATTTTCCTCTTTAAAGTGCGCATAAGAAGCCGAACAAATGCACGAAATTTTTGGGAATTAAATCGGATCCGGGGAATTTTCGATTACAACACTGGTAAAAACGGCCAAGTGTTGTCTTTTGTGCAAGTAAGCAAACAAAGCAAGCCATTTTCGCGTCCGCGGTAGCAGAGCGGTAAGAGTGCGGGCTACAAGTCTGTAGCTGCCAGGTTCGTCCTCGGTTGGAGCGATTGCGAAAATTTTTTTTGTTTTTATCATTTATTTCATATTTTTTTATTTTATTTGATTTATATATTTAATTTTCATTTGCTTTATTTTATATCACATTTTTTATTTTACTATTAGTTAATTTAAATTTTTAGAGTTGAATTTTTTTAAAAAGTCAACAAGAACTAACTGAACTTATAAAAAGGGAATGAAAACGAAATAAATGAAAATTCTACTGGCCGTGGGACTCGTACCTACACCTTGCGGCTTGTTTATCCGCATTACTGCCGTCTGTAAGGGTAAAATTATTATGCGCATATGTGTGCCCGGTTATATGCATAATCTTTGTCGTCTGTCACAGCCTTCATGCGCATTTGAAAGAGGAAAATGCATGAGTTAAAGCAAATAATGGCTGTTTATGCAAATAAGCGAGCCCGTTTGTCAACCGTATTAGGTTAGATACACACATTTGTATGCTCATTAGTGAATGCATTTATACCATATTTTTAGGTTTGTGATGTTGAGTTCGATTAATATAAATTATTATCATTATTATTACTATTATTATTATCAGTATTATTATTGCTATTATTATTATTATTAGTATTACTATTATTATAATTTTTATTATTATTACCTCTTTGTTAATGCAGAGATTCTATTATTGTGTTTTCAATTTTGCGTGAGTGAAACTGGTTTATAGCCCTTAAACATATTATGCTGTTTTAATTTCTTTTCACTCCACATTAAACTTAGCGATTTTTTATTTACTAGTACACAAATATTTACCTTGGTTTAAAGTTTTTGAATTGCTTTACAAAAATATACATTTCTAGACCTCATAACTCATATGTCATTGAAAGTTTTTACACAAATATGTATTTGCGGTAGTTGATTTGTATTTTTTATGCTTACATTAGAATTATCTTGGAGTTTGTATCCGATTCTACACACATTGCTTCACTTTAGAAGGATTCTCGAAGTCTTGCAAAGCCTTGCACAGCGTACGTATGTCAAAGATTTCCGATAGGAAACCCTGTTCTACCGTTCAAGCCGTGCAAGGGTTTTACAAGACTTAGAGAACCCCCCCTAATGTGTTTCTGGCCATTTTAGGTAAAGATTGATATCAAACAGCAGAACATATCATGTACCCACATAATTCTAGACCACACTGCAACAATGTAAAAAAAAGCAATGGAAATTAAGCATATACATATACTTATTTGTTTTCAAAACCATTTAGCACACATAGCACAAAAGAGTAATTTGTATGCAGCAGTGTTAACGCCATTTGCTGTTGAAAAGTGTGATAAAATAGTTTTTTTTTTGTTTTTGTTTTTAGAAGCAAAGCCTCTTTATTTTCTTGTTAATCGTATTTTTCACCACGTATTTTTCTACAAGTTTATTAGAATATCTAACGCGATTTAATAGCTACAGCTACATAAGTACAATTTTCCGCCATTACATTTACAAACGCTTAAACATATAACTTGTGAGCTTCGGGGGCTTGTCTTATTTGCGTGTTTAGATAGTGGTGAGTAATGCCATAGTGTACGAGTGTGTTGCCTTGGATTTTAATCTCAGGAATGAGTTAAAATGTGACTGGATGTACATGTTGTATGTATGTGTATGTCCCTATTTTATTTTTACAAATATATGTATGTATATGTAGTATAAAGCTTAATTTTTTATGAGAAGCATTTTATATTCAGCTTGCTTTAGTTATGCTTTTATTTTTATACGTTTGAATGTTTAAGTTTTAGCGATTTCATTGATAGCTCAATTATAATAATTGGTTTTCGTTTTTATATTACACAAATTGCCGAATTTACAGATTTTGTTTTGTTGCACTGAAATCGCCATTTCCTTTAATCTGCCATCTCATTGCTAAATGAAAAGTTTACTTCGAATATCTCGACGAGTTATTTGGTCGACGTTTGGTATTCAGTTTTTTACTTTATCCAATTAGTGGAAATTGAACCATCTCAGTGCTTTGTATGTAGCCGCTAATATTTTACAGGTTTTGGTCGAATTCAAATCAAGTCAGATTTCACGATTATTTTTTTCTTATATACAATTATTTACGAGATTTGACTAGTTTTTACACGGTTTTCTATTGTCTATACTCATTAATGGATGTTCGTTTTTATGCTAGTTAAGTCTCCTTAGTGTTTTACTGCTAATGTGCTTGTTTTTTTTTAATCTTAATTTATCTTCATTCTATGTTTTGTTTCGTCTCGCCCGCCCCTCGAATTTAGTGATTTTGCACCCGGTTAGTAGATTTTTGTTTACTTAATGAACTTATTTTCTGTACGTAGCAATCCGTAAACAGCTTAAAAATATTCAGTGAAGCAGTTTGGCGTATGGGCTTGAAATGGCAGTAGCCGCAGCGGCCGTAATGCTTCTGCTTTTTTTTGATAGGTTTTAATGCTTATTGTTTACGCTGCAGTCGCAATCAAAAACAACGAAGGCTCTCATATTTAAGCTGAACAAATGACAAGTCGTCTGAATAAAACTTTTAAAACCATTTTCATTTGCGAATAGAACTAGCGAAGCGTTGGAGTGAAATGAAATTCATTTGTTTTGCATGTACAAAACTTTGAGTTCTTAATGCCAAGCAGTATAAATTCTTCAAAAATAAACTAATACATATGTATGTATGTACATGCACTTCTAATGACAGTTATTATATAGCAAGCAAAAAGGCATTGTAGTGTGTATGCATGGATGTCTTTTGGGCAAATTATGTATTTAATTACTTGGAAACCCAAGTAGCAAGTACAGTGATAAAATTATGTTCCCATGCTTCCAAATGTATAAACTTATTTTTGCGTAAATCAGCAAATGTATTTATGTACATACATATACAAGCTTGTTGGTATTACAGCATGTGGACCTGCATATGTAAAACTTCGTTTCAATAAACCATGCAAATTAAAATTACATCTACATGTGTATGCAACAAAGAAATGCACGTAACGCTCAAGTCCTTAACCAGGAACTTAAAAATGTGTTATGTAGAGTACATGTCAATTTGAACGCTCGGTGCGGTCGACTAGATAAAAGTGATTATTTTGGTATGTCCGTGTATTCGATAAGTTTATCTTAGTTGCATTTTTCCCGAACCTTTTGTTAGCATTCCTTTAGCTTCATTAATTAATTTTATTTTTGGTATACCTTTTAATCGCCTGGTACGAAGAATTCATACTTTCGTATATGGTTTCCAATATTTAACATTTCTTAAGCGATCCGGTTTTCATTGCAGGGTTATATCACTATATTTGCACTGGGATTTGCAGTCGAAAATTACCCATATTTGCACATTGGAGTATTTATTAATCTACTTTCTACACGTCATCGTCTTTAGTTAGATTTCAGATTATGCACGATTTGTATTTAAGTTTATTTGCCTTTATGACTTTTATTTATTGCTGATGTACACATTCCATTTATTGTTCTTCGCGACTTTTGTAACATTAAGTTTTTCTTTACAAGTTGGCTGCAAATGATTTTTACCGAGTCTGTCATTTGTTGCGTAATATTTTTATATTCATCTTCCAGAATTGTGGAGTTATCAAACCTAATCACACATCGAACTATTCTCGCCATATATGTACATACATATATAGAGATGTAGAAGTTGTCAGTGAAGTGTGTTCCCAGGTCGTCTGGCTATAGAATGCCTTATTTAGTAAATCACATTTTATGTAAATTTAACATCAGTCGTTAATACTTTTATAGATTAGTTCTTAATAACTGACCGTTCCATTACAATTAGTTTTAATTTAAAATTTTTATGCTTTTATCTTTTGATTCCATTATTCATGCGCCCCTACCCCAGTTCATGTTTGATAGTTAAAATAACGTGTCGGAATTGTTACCATGTTATGTTTTGTGTGAAATGTGAATCTTTTGATATTGCAATGGACAGTGTCTTACATTTTTAATTCAAATTTAATAACAGTGTGTGTAAGTGTGTTGTTATATAATTCTCTTATTTCAAACTTTAGTGCATTTGATCTCAGAGATATGGCAGTAGGCTTTTTGTAACAATTTCATTATGTGATTTTTTCTCTTACGCCTGCATGTTTCGCATTGAAAATTTTAAAATTTACAGCTGCATATCGCTGTTGTGAACGAAAACACCAGAATCGTTTATAAAGCTATGCCTGTATGAGCATTAAATGTACATATGTTAACACATATTCATAAATTAGATATGAAATAATATCGCTCTAAAGTGTATAAATAGATACGAGGCAAATGAAATAGCGTTTACATACACATGTATAGATAATAGTAAATAATTTTTGTATAATTTTTGCAAGGTATTACGGTATACAAATATGTGCTTAACAGAAAATAATTTCTCATAAATATGAGCATGATAATACAAAGATAGTAAGCAGATTATTTATACTAAATAAAAATGCTAATTTTTTAATTTAAATTTTTGAATATTACTAGGTCACAGTAGAGATTTTGGGTAATTAGATTTTCCTTCTTCTTACTTTTGCATAGTTTTCGAATCAATATTTGAACTGAAAGTAGAAAAAACTGCAGCTGGTAATGGTGATACTAGTCCTCATAGCAGTTGAGGTTTGTTTTGCTTTACGCTGTCGTTGTTGTTGAATGTGGCAGAAAATTATTTTTGTTGATTTAGGTCAGTTCGATTAAGGTGCTTCCTGGAGGGGGGGGGGCGAGGCCTGGCTCAGACGTCCGCCGTTCTCGACGTTATACTCGGTGAGCGCGAGTGTATTACAACCTTATGGCCGTTTTTGGTTACAAAACCATCACTTTCCACCAGTACGGCCGTTTGTCGGCCATTTTTGATGCTTGATCCGCTACCGACTCCACCACACGCAGAACCCGGACTTACTGGACTCCCACTTAAAGCAGCTTCCGGGCTGATTACGTTTCCATCGCGCATACCATCACCACTCTCTCCACCAGCTCCACTACGGCTTCCATCGCCATCACCTTCGCCACTTTCGGGATCAAAATTGTTTTCGATGTTCCCTTCCATTTCACCAGATGTACGCGCTTTGTACTTACGCCAAGCGTTTTGTATCAGGCGAGTACAATACTCCTCACGTTGACGCCATAAAGTAGATGACACAGGTTCATGTCCTTCGGCATCTGCCCTGGGAGCAATTTCGCCGATTTCACCTGTATCTTCTATAGGATTGCCTTTCCGTGCAAAAAAGTCTTTGGTAAGAGCATCCAAAATATCTACACAATACATCATATCTCCTCTACAGATTGGTATATCCATAGATATGATTTTGTACTTGTTCGGTTTATGTATTTGAAGAGGCGGTTCCAAGACATCCAGAAATGTGGAGAGCTGATCATAGCGTATATATTGCGTACCTTCGGGGTCGAACTGCTGCCAGATTTCGTAGTACATATCATAATCATCATCGGTGAGACCTTCCTGCACGTCCTCGGTGGCCTGACTATAGTTTTCGAGAATGACAGCAATATACATATTAATAACTATCAAAAAGCTTATAACTAAGTATGAGAGAAGAAACGTTATTCCAACTGTTGCAGAACCACAATTGCCCGGATAGCCTTTGTCGTTGTCGGGTGGATCGCAATTTTCCTCATTGATAATAGCATCTAAAACGCCATCCCAACCGGCTGAGGTAGACATCTGCGTTCCGCCATATAAAAAGCGGTAACAGAGTCCATTTGATTTGTCCGATTGGGTTATTTTATTCAAATACGGAATGGTGTGGCGGAGAAAAAAGTTTAGAACAAGTGAATTTCATTAGTTATGCAGTTGATTGAAACTAACATAACAAGATGGCAGCAAAATCCAATCAACTAATTTTAATTGTCCTAATTAAAAACTTTTTGACGACTGCATACTAGATATATTGGTTACTTATACTCGTATGTATATAGTATGTATACATATATACATTAGCAGAATATATTCAAAATTGAAAACTACTTCAATTGAAGCTCTTGGTAGGTATGGTCTATGTATGTGCGAAAGCTAATTAGGCGCAAAACTAAATAATTGGTATACATATTTACACATTGGATGCTTGCAAAAAAATAATTAGGTAAAAATTGTATTTGCCTGTCTTAACTGTTAATTGGATTCACTACGAATTCAGGCAACAGTAAAGAACACTTCCTCAAAGCATGGGTTTATTGAAGGTTGTACTAGGAATGGCTTGTATCAATCTAATATTGATCTATAATTGAAGCAACAAGAGCAAACAATTGCTTGGAAAACAAATTTTGTCAAAATAAAACTCATATCTACATACATATATGACTATGTATAATAATAGCGTGTCAATTTCAGAACAATGAAATCAGGAATTTTTGCATTTGGTTAATATTTGCGTATACAATTATGTATACATCGGAAACTTTCTAATAAATAATTTTCGCTTTAATGAGGATTGTTATCATAAATGTTATAATTGGCGATTGTTGAAAGAGCTTAATTAGAGTGAAATGCAAAGTGAGCATGAAGATAGGAAATGATACTTAAATGAATGATGAGAAAATGTATAAAAAAAAATAAGTTAAGAAGCTTATCGTAAATGGTAGTAAAGTTATCAATTCAACGAAAATTCGTCTTCCGGAAAAACGGACCCAAAAATTCACATACCTACTGTATAGTATATACTTCATTTAAGTTTCATTTTGGTGTAGGATTTATACGGCAGTAGAACTTTCCCCTTTTCACTGCATATATACGATTACAAGTACATACACACATGTGTATGAATATGAAGATATATTGGGATTGATTTTAAATGAAAGTGCTCTGAAATGAATGTAGAGTAAGCATCAAAGGTACGTTGCACAGTGATATTTGATACCAATTTTGTGCCCACAATTTACAAAATTAGTATATTCACTTGAATTCAGGTTTAAAGGGGTTTTTGAGGGGTTTTGCTTTATAAAAAAGAGAACCATTTTGAAATGTGAGTGTTTTTACTCTCTAGAAAATAATTTATGCAACCTCACATACGCGGTTTTGCATTTTGCTGATACGCGGGTTTGTACTTTAAACGACGATATGTGTGTGTGTATATCACGGTAACCGGTTCACCAATTTCTCCCAAATTCTTCTCTGTTGTTAGTCTTGGTAAAATATCACTAGCTTAGAGTGAGAAGTTGCTAAGTCCACTTTTTATAGAAACTCATATTTGGATACAGGAGGCTAGAGAAATTAAAAAATGCATCGTTTCGAAAGAAGATAAATGGTCTTGTTTTATGTTTTTTCGTTTATATTCAATGAAAGGAAATTTTCGATAAGGCCAAAATAGTACGAAATCTTTTAATAAAGGTCGAATCCCTCTGATTCGTATGGAGAATTTCTTTGCTTTAATATATAGGCAAAACGTTGTATTCAAAGTTTTGCGAAATACTTGAAGAAAATGGCTATAAGAAGTTGTTTCCTTCTAGTATAAAATTTTTCAATTGGGTCTTAGCAACTTTTCGCTATAGCGATACACCAAACGGTTGAAAATTTTTAAAATCAGACAATAACCACACACACATCAGTATCTACTAAAGCTAATTTATTCAAAATTGTTGTTTGCAATAATTCTTTAGCAAGAAATAAGATTATAACAAATTATAAGAAAATGGGCGTGATACCGTCCACTTATGACCACGTATGTGTGTGTATCTCGGTAACCGTTCCATCAATTTGTACCAAACTCAAGATGTTGAAAATGTTTGAAATCGCCTACTTTTCATATCACGGCAATTTTAAAAATACGGAGACTTCGATATTTCGAAATTTAAGGACGCTATTTTACTCAAAGTTAATACTAAAAAAAAATAAGATTATTATGAGTTCAAGCCCGGTTCAACCCAACATCAAAAAATAAATATAAAATAAAGTTTTTTCTAATAGAGGTCGCCCTCGGCAGGCAATGTCAAACCTCCGAGTGTATTTCTGTAGGTCCCTCCCCTTTGTGTGACAACACCAAGGCGCATACCACAACTCGGAGGAGGGGAGCTTGGCGAAACACTTACATATTTGGAAGAGGCAATCTATTATTGTTATAATTATTATTAATATGTGCGCCGGGTATTTAATGTTCGGCTTCGCCGCAACTTAGACTTCTTTACTTGTTTTGTATGAATTATAAGCTGGAAATAATGTTACTTATATGCCATGACCTCCAACGAATTCCCACACGTTTGACCAAACTTATAAGGAAAACAATTACCTTGTTTATATGGCATCAAACGCGGTATCGAATTAACTCGTGTTAGTGTAGCTCGCTTGAAATGCAAGTGTTTATATGCAACAAAAGAAATGAGTCGATCGAACACGCTTACAAACAGAGGTCATTCCGATGCAACCCTGATATGTGTCAAAACTTGAAAATAATAAACATGGAAAAATAATAATTAAAGACCCAAAAAGAACAATAGCTATTAATTTTATAACAACGCTTAGCCTAAACGTAATTTCATGAACTATTTAAATGTTTCACTTCATACAGAGTTGCATGAAACAACAGTGCGGACAAATCCCGTGTGCACTATTAGCACAATTCAACAACTCTTAACTCGCACTCAAAATGTGATTTATGGTGGCACAGTTACAAGTTTCAATTCGATTTAAGAATGTGTTTATGGTAAATAACAACTAAATAATTACGTGAATGCGATTAATCGCAGCGTGGTACTTCCACGGCAATTATGTTGAGAGTTTCTTCCTGTACAGAAGGGTATTTCTTCCACCTTGATACGATTAACGAGAAACATACCGTCGAAGAAGATAGGACATTTTGTTATGTTAATCAGCATAACTTCCCGGTCAAGACGGCATATTCCGTTAGCCGTTAGTGTATTACTTCAGAGAACACCTAAATATTGTGCCAGGTTGACTGGGTCACTTTTAATTTTTTGGGGAAACCTTCAAACAGGAAGTAAAGTATTTTTTTGATTTGGTTACACACTAAACAAAAGCTTTGTTAAACAAATAATTAAAAAAAAAAAATGTTTTGATGAAAGTATTCACATATGATAGTTAGACGAATGTAAGCGAGATAGTTATGTATATTAAACATTCAAAGTAAAGAAAAGTATTGTGGAAAGTTTGAATGAAAAAATTGATGTTGCTAATTTAGCTTTTATCAACAACTACCATAGCTTAATCAACAATGTAACATTCCCGCTTTTGGGTGAGCTGATCAATTGGGTAATGCACCAACCGTATTTCCAGGTGGAGATATGCGAGTTTAACTACATTGGTGCACCACCACTATAATCGCACTCAAAATTCCGCCAGTGGGAATATTACCCAACGACAACAACAATAGACAACATTAACGGAACTTGAATTGTGGTGGCTTACCTGGAACAGCAATATCATACTTTGGCCAAAAGTTTTAAAATTATAAACGTCGTTAATGCCACTTTTTTCCCGCACATGCATAAAAAATGACATCCCGAAAATAGCAAAGATGAACATTACAAGAAATAGCAGCAGACAAATGTTGAATAGAGCCGGAAGTGACATAGCTAGCGCGAACAACAGCGTGCGAATACCTTTAGCACCTTTGACAAGACGTAACACGCGACCCACTTTTGCCACACGGACCACACGCAACAGCGTTGGAGATACGAAGTACTTTTCAATAATATCGCTCAGCACAAGACCTGTAGGAGAAGGAGTAAATATTTTCGCCCAAAATAGAACGAAATGTAGAAAAAGTGTCGGCAAAATCAATATGTCAATAGGGCATATACCACCGGGCCCATTTTTAATTTTTACACACAAATATATAATTTAAGATAAATTAAAATGCGATGTTTTCGCAACATTTAACGTAAAAATTCGAATTTTTCTTATAGGAGATATCTTTACACTAGTTTACTACAGATACTTTAGAACTCAAAAGCTAAAATTTGTCTTAAAAGCATAAAATATCTATATCAAAATATTCCTCTGAAAGCCATTACGAAATAATAAGATGATATATAGATTTTTACTTCAGTAATAATAAAAACACTGTGAATCCAAGATCTAGTACCTTTAATGAAGAAGGATAGTACACAAGTAATTACAAGGCTTGACTAGGCCAAACACAACAAAACAAAAGTTTACGCGTAAGCATAACACACTCACAGTGAAAAAGAAATTAATGTACTATATAAACATACATATCTAGGTAGTATGTAGGTACACACGGCATGGCATTTATTTATCAGATCGTAGTGGAAATTAACAATTCGAAAGCGCTTTGTGAAGGCTCGCAGTGACGTCAAGTGCAGTCATCTGATTGCATAATTGATGATAAACGGCGGCAAGGTAGCGGCATAATATCAAATAGAAATAATTCAGTGTTTTAAAAATATCTTATTGGAGATTGACTTGATATTTGATTTAGGCATGTATCTCCTTGATTTCTAAACACTGAGCCATTTCCATACCTACTGACCAGATTTTTTCACTGAAATGTTTTAATTACACCCTCCAGTTTTAGGTAAGGTACAACTCAAGGTTAAGCGATAATCCGCAGCGTATAATTAGTGCCAAATATCGATATTAAATAGCAAAGCAGTTTAATTGCTAAATAAGCATACCTACATATATGTAAATAGAACATACATGTTATTCCGACCAAATTTTTTTTTAAATGGATTTCTCAATTAAAAAAATATAGATTGACAAAACTAGTCATTTGAATTACAAATAAATAAACCTTGTATACCAAAATACCAAGACGCCCTACACCTCTGTCCTGCCTATTTTTTCTGCACTTACTTTATTTACATACATATGTATGTACTACATTGGTACCGAGTTAATAAATATCGGATAAGTTATCTACAGTAGCTACATAAATTGAAACTGATTAAGATGTAAAATTATTTGAAATTAAGTGTAATAAAAAATTTAAAAGGATTAAATCGTGCAAAAACGCCCTTGAGGTTGTGTTAAGAAAATAACTTTGCACGTTACTTGTAGGGCTGTATTTTTTATTTTAATCCGAGAAAATCATAAATTATTTTAATAAATACTACATTATGTTCCACATATGTAAATACTTGATCATACATGGTTGTAAAAAGGATTAGTAGTATTTTGTATAAATATGCTCGATTTTTAAGTTTAAAGTATTAGGTTCATGTTAAATTTGTTTTTTAATTTTCGATGATGTCTCTTTGTACAGGAGTTACAATGAAAACGATACAGGTGTACAATACAAATGTATACATATGTATATGTATGTACAGGATTGTATATTATCTAATACTATAACGCTCTATTCACTATATTTGTGAATCTTCGAAGGGGTCGCAAACTATTGGCGTGGAGTGAATTTTACTTAAGTTGCGACTTGGGTTCATAGTAAAGTACATAATTCCCATCGACAAAATGGACAAAAACCATTAAGAAGACTCAGCGGATGCGCTATGATTGCAGTGCCTCTTTATTGACCATGAATTGATCAAATGACTGGTTATGCTGAATCGTCACACCAAAACAGCTGCAGTCTTATGGATGCGTTTTGTCGAATGGTACAGCGGGTCATGCGGAATGGGCCCCTCAATACCGTTACGACATTAACGTCTGGTTATACATATGTATGTATATATATTTTATACATACATTTAGCCGGAAAAGCGGGGCTAGCAGAGGTATGCAATAGAGCTTTGAGTTTTATCTTTCGCTGAATCTTTATACATACATACATATACGGCCTCGATGAATGGTAGCCACTGATTCTGACCAGAGATCTGAGTTGGTTTCGTCGTTTATGTTTTGGTTAAACCCTTTTATTCTATTATACCTACACGTAAAAAGAGACATATGTATATTAATATATTCGACGTTCTGATATCACTTTAGTTTAATTTTTTCCCTTCTAAAAATGTATGCTTCACTAAGTAGTAAATAAGAACCTATAATATCAGCGTTTTATCTAAAGCAACTAGCGGCATCAAGCATCTGTTTAAATTGTGCGGCGGGAATTCTAAAATTTAATTTAGGATCTACATATTATACATATACATATGTAGCAGCAAAGTTTAAAAGTTTGGTTTAAAATGGCGCAAAGCGCAAAAATATTTATGATTTTTAGCTTGCTAGATACTGCGTATTTCAAGGTTTCGCATATGCTTAAATAATGAGTATGAATTCAAGCAGACAAAGTTAAGCTTTAAAGCTTGCAAATAAAAAGATTCGTATCACTTAAAATGTGAACACTGTAAAGCTATTTCGAAAGCTTACAAACTGTTTTAGTTAAAAAGCTTATGCACTTATGTATGTACATATACATATATCTCTATTTCTGAATATTGGGGAAGTTATTTTATTAAGAACAAAAATTTATATCCTAAGGAAGATCTTAAAATGAGAAAATGTGCAGATAGAAAATTATCCTTTTCATAAATATCGCAAAACGACGGAAATATTACTTTATCAAAAATGGTTTAAAACTCTATCTTCCTTACAGAAGTTATGAAAAAGAAGTTTTCTATCTCATAATGTAGTAAAGCATATTTTAAAGCCATCTTTTGTATAGTAAACTCCACTAAATTTAACTATTTTTGCTTACAATGTTGAATTTCAATTATTGATTAGTTGCCGTTTTATTCGGACAGTTTAAGCCATTATATAAAAGGAATTATTAAAAAAAAGAGGCGAGTATTCATTTGTGCTTTCGTATATAGTTTTGTAGTTTATGATAAGAAAACCAAAGCCCATAAAAAGTTTATATTACCAAACAAAAAAACCACGAACTCTAAACAAAACCGAATCGTCTCGTAAAACTGCCGCCAAGAATATAAAACATCGTCAGCAGAAAACCTCGTACTCACACAGATGTATGTATGTACATATGTCGATAGCGTCATGATAATATACATATGTATGTATGTATATGTAAAGGATATCTGCGTTCTTATTTTGAATAAAATTTAATCCGAATTATAAATAATATATACCAAGAGCAGTGTAGCTCCAATTCTAATCTAGAAAATATTGCAAATGGTAATACAAACATATGCGTAAAAATCATGTTTTACCTATCCATAGAATTCCACTAGCCTTTTTTTTCAAAATACGGATCATTAAAATATCCTTAGAGTGAAATATTGCTAATTCCAACTGATTGCTAATAAAAACCCATATTGTGATAAGGGAAGCAGATAATTTAAAATTTTGTGACTTGCAAAAAGATTAATGCACCCGTTTATATTCAGTGAAAGGCAAAGTTCCTAAATCCAAAAAAGCACAGAAAGTTGATAAAGTCAAAATAATAGGAAATATTTTACTCAACACCGAATTCTTTGAATTTACATCGCACATTTGCTGCAAGAATGTATAATCCAAAAAATCAAAAACTCCAGAAAAACAGCTTTAAAATTTTGGATTTGAGCTACTAATAGGTACAGCTATGAAATTCTCACACGACATAGAATTGCAGGTAGCGGTCATTTCTGCATCTTTATGTATATATATTTTTTTGGATTATGACACTCTTGCAGCAAATATGCGATATGAAGTCTTGCTTTTTTTAAGTGCAAAATATCTAAGTTTTAAAAAAATTCTTGAAAAAAATTGCTATAAGTTTTATTCAAAATCGGTACGCGTTCCAGCAATTCCTGTACAGCAATTGTTTCAATGTATTAAAAAGTTGCAATGCAGATCGTTAGGCAATAGATCTACCATTATGAGGTTTAAATTTCATAGTACTGGCTTTTAATTTGACAGTTTTATTCGTGTTGGAAGTGGCTGCTCAAAAAATAATGTTGAACAAATTCGTTGAAAACCCGACATCCTCGAGATCAAAAATCAAATTAAAATTAAATATACCAAAAACTTCTAATTTTCCTCCAAAAATCAATGAATGGATTCCTTCTGCTTAAACTAACAGAGTAAGCTAATCATCAAAAGAAATCATTTCGCACCAGCTTAAGGATAAGGCTCTTTACCTCAATTATAAAAAAAAATCGGCTTATCAGAAGAAGATCGCGCGAAAGAATTGGAAAACGATTATCCACAGTTCAGCGAATGCAAGCTATGGCAAGACTTAAACCTTATCGAGTTATAATATATAAAATTCTGTTAGATTAAATACATTTTATAACAAAAACCGCACCCGTTTACATTACCCCAATGTTCACACTAAATGTAGTATTTTATAATAATGACTAATAAAATATGTTTAAAACTGGACTTCGGTCAACTCCCCCGTTAAAAGTTTTAAGCTAAAAAGAAACAGGGTGATATCCTCTTACAACTAAATCTATAGAAGTTGACACAGTTGTCAAAAGGCTATGAAATGACAAGAGAATCGAGGCAGTGTCATTAAAACTCAATCAGACTCCACAATGGGTCATATGACCCCAGAAATATTCTGGAAGGAGCGCTTGCACAAAGTGATATTTCATTGTATCATTTACTTTGGACCTTTTGTAAAGTGTTGGTGGGTTTTTATGAAAACTAATTATTCACAGGTAACTTTAAATCGGTTTGAAGCCAATGATGTGAAAAAAGTTGTGGAAGTCATCAATTTACGAATATGACCTATTTAAGTCAAATCGAGAAATACATGGTATTTATTTAAAACAAAATTAGTAGAGATGTGCGAGCCATGGAAAAACATAAACTAAAGATAGTTTAGTAGAGCAAGTTGACTACACAACTCTCTAGAACGGGTGTTCAGAAAATTTTTATCATTATCAAAGAAATTGTCTCTTATTTATTTATCCCAGCAAAATATGCAACTCTCGCTAACATGTACCTATAACGGAATGTTTTGACTTTATTCTAACATATTAAATATTATTTTCTGAAAATCTACTAAAAAGATATAATCCATTTCATGCGTACCGATTTTGAGTGAACGATGCTTTATATATCTAACAAGTTTGCATTCTTTATAGAAGTTTGTCAGGTTATTTTAACATGATATAAGATCTCTTGACTTTGAATATGAAAAAATAATTTGAGTTGGGCTCTAAAATAAAGACCTCTTACGCATTTTTGTCGTTATACATTTGATCCAATGCATGTTTAGGAGACGACATATGTATATACAAACAGCACTGACGACCGGAATTAAGTCCGTGGTTTTAGAACAAATATACCAAATGAAGATAAACATAAAGATACACATATGTAGGTATATAAAACATGATCAAAATTTAGTCATAAGCTTGATGTTAATAAAACAAACGGGTACTACAGTTTATCAAAAAAACCTAAAAATATATTGAAAATGTTGTACGTAATACTCAAATATCAAAAGCGGCCAATATTTATATACTTCAAATAAACAATAGTAAGCATAATTTGTTTTAGCATTTTAAAATAAATATGTTAATGTTTCAAAGTCAAAAATGTATCAACCCATATAAAATGTTTCGCAAAAAAGGTTATATGTACATATGTACAAAATTAGTGAAAAACTATGAGGGATACTTAAGCACAACATTTAGCTTTCTGTACAATAGTACTCTTTGATCCATTTAATACGTGTACAACAAATAGTTTTACAACATTCCAATTATAGTAATCACACAAATAAGATACACAACAAAATAGCCAATGTAGATTTAAACAAAAATACATAGTTTATACATATGCGGACTGTGGACGATCGGACAATATAAATGTACTATATGTATATAGCTTGATTTGCAGTATTTCAACATTAAAGTTTTACATTTACATAATTTAGCGAAAAACTTTGAGTAAAGTAACAAATCACAAATTTACATTTATAACGAATGTTTAAACAATAATTTCAAAATTACCAGAAAAAATATTTTTGGCTTTTACTTACCTAAGATGGATAAAATGACAACTACTACATCAAATAAATTCCATGGCTCAATAAAATAGTGATACCGTAAGGCGAATATTTTTAATAGACATTCGGAACTGAAAATAACTACGAATATCGCATTTAGATAGTCTAGAACAGCATTATATGTTTCGGACGCATCGTATCGATCGAGTGTCATGGTAAACATATTTAGGCCAATGAATAACATAATTATTATATCGAATTTTTTATCAGTAACTATTTCAAATACTATTGCTTGTGGACGCCACTGGAAGAGAAAAGAGAGAAATATAGAAAACAGTGAATTCTTAATCATTTCGAACTAATTTATATTTTATTATTATCGTATAAGCTTTTTGTAAGCTTAGGGTTATATGTATGTATTTATAAGATTATTGAGGCCATGATAACATGCGTGCGTCATGTTCTTTTATCATTTATATTTGCATTAAATCTGTTATTCTTTATCTGTGCCAAATGCAACTTTTTTCTCAAGAATTAAATTAAACTTTTATAACGATATATATATGTATGTGTAGGTAGGTATAAGTCAAAAAGTTAATCATTCAATTTTGTTTTTGTAATGCTTTCTGGTGTTCTATATGTATTTTTAAATTCATTAAAAAGTATTTAAAAGAGCTGTGAGATATAGAGTATAATATCTTAGTTTTTGGTTACAGATTACATATCTTCGACAAATATATACATAGTATGTATGTATGTATGTGTGTATATGTAAACTATACTATACCGACGAAGATGCGCAATCTTGAATAACGTTCATTATCTTTTGGTGTTTTAGTACGGGAAGTTGGATTTAATATATGAAAAAAAAAACGTGCAGATATTTGCATTTTTTTACTAAGGAAATGTAAATCTAGTTGTGAAATTTAGGATACCCCTTGAATATAGCTATTTAATTGGGTTTACACATACGAAACAGTGTGTTTATAAAAATATATTTTAATTAATTCTTTTTTAGGGTGTGAAATTGTTTCAGAAAACATGCATATGTTTGTGTCAGCATATCATTGTACATCTGCATCCGTCTACTACTGTAGATATGTAGATATACATAAATACATATCTTTAGTCTCATGCTTGTACTGTTCAATATATTTTTGATTTGAATTTGCAGTGCATGCAAATGCATACAGATCATATAAATTCATTAAGAAATATATGTAAGAAAGTAAGTATTAAGAAATTTTCAAAATTTGAATTGTTTTGTTAGATTTATGTATTGGTAGACTTAAAAATGTTTAAGAACAGACAACCTTTCAAGGAGTTGAGTTTCAGAATGGTATGTGGCTTGAATATATAGATTGTGTCCATTTCAAAGCAACTTTATTGAATAACAGTGGAAGAATGGTATAACTCCTGTTGTAAACTTATTTTTTGCCTATACAATTCGACCACTTAACGCGGCTGGTGCACGCGCACACGCATCCGTTGCTGTGGATGCTTATGTTTCGAAAATATTGCTAGATACATAGCTGGGCCCTCATAAGGTTTTTTGCAATTGCACAGTTACGTCATCAGAATTTTGACGACGTAATAACTACATATTTTACAGACAAAAAAAAAAAATCATAACAACCGCGCACCTTGGAAAAAAGTATTAACAATTGGCACAGATTTAATTAGTTAATTTATAGTCTCTTTCTTTTAAATTTATGGCATATATCGATCGATATAATACAATTTTTAAATTATTGTATTCTTTTATTATAAAAAAAATATATAAGCCTTACCCTCGGTCTAGGAATGGCTTTTAATGGTTTTTTAGAGCCCATCTTTTTCATAGCATTATAGTACTTTTTCTGATCTTCTGTCATGAACATTTCTAATGATCCACCTGCTTTTTTCTTTTGCTCGTTAAAATTATCAATGATAACACCAATGAAGAGATTAAGAGTGAAAAATGATCCAAATATGATGAAGAATACGAAATATAAATACATGTAGATATTCGTTTCACGGATTGGCTGCTTGCCCACCTGTTGAAGGGTCACATATTTTTCATATCGAGGAGTGAGTATGTTTGTACAGGTGTTGGTAATGATGTATTTATGTTGGTTAATTTATTGGCAGTGTTGTTGTAGGGAGTTTTTTTTTTTTGTATTTTATTTGGAATTTGTTGTTAGATTTCACAGTTTTTATGTACGTTGCAGTTTTGTTTTAGACGTGCAGGTATGACGGGAATTTTAGTGTAACGAAATATTTTTTTTTGTTGTGGTAATAAGGTTGTTTATTTTTGTATTTGTTGCGGGAAAGAAAAAAGAAAAATATTAATATTAGATTTGTCTAAGATCAAAAAACTAAAATATTGTTCATAAATCTATGTAGATCCGCAACATTTTTGAATTACCTCACGTGAGTCAATTGCGTCGTTCATGATAGGTATCCAGCCTTTAAACGTGGCCACTTGGAAAAGGCACAGATACGCATTACCTACATGATCAAAATTCATTGCTGAATTCACCCATGTGTAGTTTTCACTCTCGCAGGCATTGCGGTTAGGTATGATCTCGTGACTGAGTTTAGTGCCATTTTGATCCTCGCACTGCAGTTGCCGAATTAATGAAAATAAATTAATTATATTAATACATATTAAACCAATGGTATTAGATAAGACAAATATGTGTTCTTACATGTACAGCACACATTCAGTTATACATGTTTCGATTACTGTTATACATATGTACCTAAATATAAATGCATACATACATACATATACATACATATATAGTAATGTATGTATGTATGTATGTGCATGTGTGGCATGGTTTGATTCAAAAGCTTTGTTGCATGTCTCGCATTCATTGAGTTTGCAAACAAGTAATATTAAAAGCTATCTATTCTACCAGTTAATTTTTCTCACATCTTGCTATATATATAAGAACATTTTCTATACATGTCTATATTTAAAACTTTGGTCGAATATGGATGCAAAAAAAACATATTAAATTTGTATCAATAACTTTTATTGTTTTAAGAAGTATGTGGTGTCCATACTATTATTATTATCAAATACAAGTGGTGACTTTAGAACTCATAAATATTTAATAGCAAAGTTCTGCGATTTCCTATCACATATTACATTTGCATATGTATGTTACACAAAAAAAAAAAACCGCTGGAAAGGAAGTGTCGCTTGTATACCTATACTCGTATTTACAGCAGCGTATATAGTTACATATGTATAGATACTGAAATGTTCATTACAAATACATACATATTTAAAAGCAGTCTCTGCCAATGACATAAATGATAATAAGTACGATAATGAACTCGCCTTGCTAATTATAGAGGTTCGTGGAGCATTAAGTTCAATAACAAAAATTGGCAAACAGTGTTATGCCATTGAACTCAGTAATAATTTAAACTAATAATTTATTTATTGTCAACCATTCACGAAAAATAGATGCAAAGATACGCTTCTTTAAAAAGTTCTTCACTTTATTCTTGTATTCAGCCAAATCTTAATCGAATCAATTTAACGGCCTGACTGATATAATAGTATTTTGATTTGGTTTGTTGTTTTTGAGGTTTCAACCCAGTGTATGTTGTGGTAAACCAACCCAGTAGCATTTTACTGCAGGGTTGATTTAATAAAACATTTTCTAAATTTAGATATCACGCTATTAGTATTTTTAATATTTATTTATTTATTTTTTTTTATTTCAACGTACCTTAAAATATTTTCCAGCAAAAAGCTGTACACCCATTATGGCAAAAATTAGCCAAAATATTAGACACACCAATAGCACATTGAAGATGGACGGTATAGCTTGAACCAATGCATTCACGACGACCTTAACGTCCGAAACGATGGCAGCACCAGAGTCAGTAAAAGGTTCGTCGGCAATCACATTTACGGAATATGACGTAAGCAATGACAGTAATGGGAAAGTGGCAAATATATCGGTGCATTATATGAATGAGATGGTACAATGGCGATCGCATCCAGATGTAAAATTTTGTGATAACGATCGTTTTGATTATTGAGATTAGTGGGTTGAAGATCATTTTGATTATTGTGATGAAAGAACATGTGAGAGGAATAAATTTAAATAGATTTTAGTATTAGTTTTTGGTTTGCAATAATAATTGAGTAAATAATAAACCGGAAGAGTCGATTATGATTATGTGATGACATTGATTATGCTTTCCTAATATTTAACAACCAGTGCATTTTAAAAGCATGCGGTGCTTATATATGTACATATGTAGATAACCAATACTTGATTCAACAAGGCAGATTAGAAATGATGTGATACGGTTGAGTGCAGAGCCATAGTAAATAAATCCATTTAATAACCAAAGGCATGCTTAAAGCAGATTTTCTGTGATTTTATTATTTGCGAAAAAAAATACAGAAATCTTGAAATAACCTAAAAATATAACTGATAAGAAAACAAAGGTAATAAAGAAAGCTGTGAAATTACAATTGTTACAAAAAAGTGAACTAATTAAACTTCAATAATTTCAGTTTTCTCTGTTGGTAATTGGTTTTTTAGATCTTATGTATATATGTATGTGATGAAAGAAGAAACTCTTAAGGCGGGTTCACCGTTCGTTTTTTCTCGAAAATTTATTGCAGGCATGCCCTTTGAAATTAATAAAAATCATTTTTCTTGCTCAACGGTCGAATTTATTCTGTTTCCTTTAAATTCAAATATTTTCCTCCAAGCGGTGATAAGATTCTTGTTCTTATTTTCTAATTTGCAGCTGTGTCCAGCGTTGCCGTTTCGCTTAGATGTAAGCAAAATTGATTAATTTTTCCTGACTGTTTAAATGTAAAATTTTTCTTCGTTTTGCTTAATTTTTTCTACAATTCGTATTAAACGAAAGCAAAAACAAGAAATGAAATTTCATGAACTATGTGGTAGTTTAAATCTACAGTGCCGTCTTTTGTGATCTTGTGAACTAAAGGAACATAAAGAAATTTTCTTTCCGACCGCTTAACTCCTGAAATATAACGAAATTTGGTTTCCCTTTTTAATGTATCAAATTTGAGCGTATTATCTACTGGCGCATAGTGGGAAAAATATTTTTGTGTCAAAAAAGCTGTATACTCTTCAAATCCCACCCAATTTCGATTATTCTCCTTTTTTTCAAAACGTTCGTTATATATTAATTTTACTGTTAGGAGATGCTGCTGCTTTTTTGAATAGTCGTAAATAAATATAACAAATTCAGCCCAAACTAAAGGTCGGTTTAAGGTTCCAGCAATTACGAATTACCAAATGTAATTCTGACATGATTGAAAGTGCTGCCACATATTTTGTTGGTAACTTATGCTCATTTTGTAAAGTTGCTTACAAAACTTACGATTGCTATAAATTTTGCTCCGTGTTTTTAGAGTTTACAGACTTGGTATCCTCAAACTAAAAAAACAAAACCACCAAAAAACGCACCAAGCATTCAACTCAAAAATTTTCGCGTTTTGAATAAAGAGGAGCACTAAATTTAGTGCGAAAAACACCAAGTTGGCAACAGTTATGCTGAAGTACGATTCACCGTTCAGTTCGGCACATTTTATTTTGTTCTGAAGCAAACAGCTGATGATATTGTTACCTACATACGATTTTGAGGGCAAAGTCGCTGCAAACGCATATAAAGAAGAACGCGGCAACCCGAATAATCAAGTCGTTCGGACAGAAAATCAAAATCAATTTGATTCGAACAAAGAATGTTCAGCACATTTTGTCGCGCTCTCAGTGAGACAAAGTGGGAAAGGAACGCGTAAAATTACTAACAAAAAGTGTCCGGACACGAACGGTGAATCCGCCTTTAAGCCAGCTTAAGCAATAATTGAGCTATGAGGATGCCCTTCTAAAAATACTCCAATTTAATTTTGCATAAGATAAACTGATAAATAATAGCATCTTTCATAACATGAAAGTCTTAGGTATTATCTTGTTCAGATTGAAAATCAAAATTGATATCGACTGGCTCTTTGATAAACAAGTGCTATCCATATGAAGCACAGTGTTTACTATACGTATATAGTATTTGTAAATTTTCATATGTAGCTGTTTCTATTTTACAAAATTGTTATTTGCAAAACAATTTACGAATATTACATATAAACAAAACCTAAAATCTGTCAGTGGTTTTTTAACGCATGCTCAAAAAGCTGCTTGCATGAACTTTCATGTACAAGTAACACATAGTGTGCATGGATGTATGTAAGTATGCGAATCCAGCCAATGCAAAATGACGCCATACTTGGATTGTTCACACCTGCCTGGTTATCCAGCGGTTGTATTTTTTTTTTAACAGTTTACAACAATATAAAATACTAATTTGCAAATAGGCAACTTAATAAGAAGGACGGTGTGAATACCTACGCTATGTATAAATTTTCTACATCTAGGAAAATATTTTTTGTTATAGATTTGAAGAACATAATAATATTAACAAAACCTTACTGCATCCGGAGCAACAATCGGATTTGATTATGATATATTTAATATTCATTTGTGGAGATAAAACAACTTTAAATTCGTATTTATGCAAAAGTGTATTTTCCCTTTACCTAGTAAAATATATTTATACATATGTTGATGAAAGCTATTACGTATTTATAAAAAAAAAACACATTTATGAGCTTATTCTTTTTGAATGTGCTGATATATAGTCGTGTATCATCAATATATGTACATATGCATTTATGTTTACGAATTTTTACAATGTATTCGACGTATATGTATGTAGGTGAAATGTGAAGGTAATTATTAAAGCAAGGGAAAATCATGTATATAAAGATTATTATTAAACAAATCTCTACTATTCTAGTACTTTACGATATGAAAACTAAAATCATAGCAATCAAACAGTCAATTAAATAGTTAATTTGTTAAATAATGAATAAATCAACTAACGTTAATGATGCATTTTTCTTAATGAGATCTGAACATTGTTTTGAATAATTTAATCTAAATTACTTAGTTTTGATGTTGCTGTGTTTTCACTGCTTTTTTTGTTTTTTTTTTTGTTTTGTTTTAACGAACATAACGGTTGCATTAAAGAGAGAATATGATAATGAAAGTACGTACCCTCATGCCCTGCATTCGGGACATGGCACGTAGTGGTCTCAGTGCTCTTAACGTTCGCATAGTCTTGAAGGCTTGAATACCACCAGCTCCAGCAAGTGAAGCAACGAAGTTGATAAGCGACACCTAGTACCGGTTTTTTTAAAAGTCATTATAAGCAAAGCTTCTTTTCATTTCGAGGAACGAAATTTGTATGTGTTTTAAAGGATTACATATATTTATTTCGGCAATAGATTCTGTGGCTTGTGACATTGTGATTTTCATATAAATTGGCAATAGACTGTTTTTCTTGATGACTTCGTGTTTAAATTTAGTGTAATCCAAACTGTCGTTTCAAATGTCAACTGAATCTCAAAAGTTATTATTGTATAAGGCAGCTTAAACAAAAGTAAGTAAAGTAACATAAAAAAACTTAAGGGAGTAGCAAAAAACAAAGAGAAAAATAAAATTAAGTCAAAGCTTTTTAAAATAGGTTTAAAAATTTACTAGTTATATATGCCTGAGTGTTAAATTCCTTTTGAAAGAAATTTAACAAGTTGTATCACATCTTGGTTATGCTCAAAACAGTTTTATATTCTTAAATAAATACTTTTTCTTAAATATAGTCAAACGAACAACTAAAAAATTATGTTAAAAACAAATAAATGCCTATATAAATACTTATACATACTTATAATAATACATGTATAATATAAATTGGTGTTGGGAAGTACCGAGTACTTTTGAGGATCGAGTTCTTTGGTATCGATACTTTTAAGGATCGGGTAAGAGTACTGAGTACTTTCTTTACATATCCACTTGTAGTAACATTTAAATGCTTAGTGTAGAAATTTTACAAGCTGGCAGCACTTTATTATTTAATATATTAATCCCAAATTACGTAATGAATGGCTAACTTTACTGGGTACAAGTATTGTACTTGAAAACTGTTGAAACTTCAAATTGAGTACAGTCCTATCTGAATACTGGTAAATGTAAATAAAACTCAGTACTTTTAAGTATCTATTCGAAACTTAAGTACTTTTAATGGATTCTGAGTACATGTATCAAAGTGATGATTGGAACAGAGTATTTTTGAGTACTGTGTACTTTGGAGTTCTTTTGTGAGTGCTGATTACTTTCGAGTTCTTTTAATTTCTGAGTACTTTGGAGTACTCAGTATGGATATTTTCAAAAATCGGGTGCTGTCGATCGTTTTGAGAAACGAGTTCCGAGTGCTTTTGATATCGATACTACCCAACACTAATATAAATTCTTAACCTAGCAGCTCATAGGCGCCAAGCAGATTAAGCTCTGCAGCACTTACATATATGTATGTATACTGATGCCTTTGTGTTCAACCTGTCATTTTTAAACATATGTACATATGAATGCACTTATGCGAAAATTCTTCACTTACACATACATAATTGTCTAATTCTTTCCATATTTAAATCGAATTTAGTTTACGGAGTTTTCTCATTTTGAATATTTTGTTCGTAGATTGCTGGTAGACTCCACAATAGTCAAACACAAGTGTAAAATTTTAATCAGGTGATGATATGTGAAGCAGGACTGAAGATACTGACTGAATTGGCATTTTACGAATTATTTACAAAATATTACGGGGCAAATATTGGACCTAAGTTATTCTTAGTAAAGTAGGTGCAGAGGAAAACTATTATAGTCTTGTTGTTTTTAATAGTGAGAAGACATATCAATGTATGTATTTGGCAAGGTACGTATGTACATATGTCATTGAATGGTATTTGTCTATTGTGGAGCAATGACCACAGCGGTATGGGAGACTAGGCTGGCTTGTCTGAATTTTGACAAATTATGCTCTAACTTTGCTGCCAGACTCAATGGAGAAGTGATTGGCACTATAATATGTTGAAAATAACACTATAATAAGAATTGTTATAGTCTTCAACGGGAGACATCTTGCCCAAGACCAAGCGATTCTGAGAGTTAATAATTTCGAGCTTAGGAAAGATATTCTTTTAAGTAAAACACTGCCACCACTGCGAAGGCAAAGAAGTTTTAATGCTTCTGGGAAGTATTTACAGTGTTATCTACTATTTACGTACGGATATATTTAATTCGATTAAACTCGAAATTAAAAACTATATACTGGTACTGATACTTACGTATACAAATGTATGTTTGAAATTTCGCATTCTTGTATTGTATCGGCTTTGTAGTGAAGAAGATAACACATGAATATTGCAGTTGGAGCAAAATCATGTGCAATGAGAAGGTAAGAGTACATGATTCAAAAACATTTATGTACATCAGCCGAAATAAATTTTATAACATCTGCCTTAACGGCACAGCAGCCGAGTCTAAATTATTTAGGCAGAACAGTGAGAAATGAAAATATTCGTGAATTTTACAAAGTTTTCTATTCGAAGTAGATGTGGGATCTAAATTTGGCAATGCGGAATCATAATTATATACGCAGGATATTCTAACACGCAGGACATTTAGTAATTATTTCGGAATATGAGCTCTAGAAATATAAATTTTTTTTTAATTATCCAGCATATTTTGATTACAACTAAATGTTTACAACTAATCGCTATCATCTAAATATTAGACAACTATATATTTTATTACAAATGTTATTTTACCTTTACATATGTATATAATAGTACGAAAAAAATATGAACACTAAGGCATCTCCTAAAACTATTGTACTAATTTATAAAGCTATTATGTTAAATCTATCTATTGCATGGAAATATGCTCTAAGGCAGCTATTCTATTTAACAGTGCCGGAACAACCCTTAATAATTGTTAGCAAAAGGAGATAGCGATCTAAGTTTCTAAAGCTTTTTCAAGTAGCAGAGGATCGCACTAGTATTAGGAAATTATTTATGATTGAAGGCAGATCGCATCCAGCCATGTGTTGGGATATGATTTTCTAAACTTAATATTAGTTGTAATATTATACTAGCATTTGATATTAACTACTGCACTAAAAATAAAATAACAAAGAATTAGTGACCAATGGTTTAAATACATATGTACTTATTTTAAATTCCACGCCTAAAGTTAAATATGTAACCACATTAAACAAAGAAAAGGTTACTCAAAATGTGAAGTAGACAAATCAAGTAGAATACTAAGTAAATAAAATAAATAAATTATGGCTTGAGAAAACACTATGTGATGAGAAAGACAGTTTTCGACTCTGACCGTATATTTAACACATACAAATACAACAAAAGCCCATATACAATTGACGTGATAGTGACACAGAGCATTTACAAGTACAATAAAGTTAGTATGTATGTATAATAGTATGTATATTAGTCAATTCGTTAAGAAAGAAGTCGACTTGAATATATTATTAAGAAGCTTATTCTTTGAAAAAAATATAGTAATTACTTGTATATACAAAATGCAAGTTCTTGCCAAATTCACACCCTAGAGTCTAGTCTAGCAAGCTATATTTTGTTGCACACATTAATATGCTAAAAATTTGTGAATTAAAGAGCAAATTCAACATATACATATAGTAAATACAAACATTTTTAGTGTAGGTACACGTATATTTATACCTACATTTTGGGTGGTCCAAAAATGCATGTGAAAAAGAAGTCGGCATAACAATCTCTCACCCTATAGTTCTATACCGAAAAAAATAGACCCCTATTTTTCATTTTGAAATCAAATATTATTTAGAGGTCGCTCTAATTGCTCAAAGTTTTCCATGTATGTATTTGATATGGGGAAAAAACAACTTTTCGTAGAAATTTTATAGAATTCTTGAAAATCAATATTTTTCGATCGCAAAACTCAGTTTCTCTTCAACAGATTCCCAATAATAATAATAACCAAATGTTTATTTAACCACTTTTTCATATTAACTATAATAGTAATAGATTGGCGCTTATACATATGTTAGTGTTGGGCCGAGCTTCTCCTCGATTTGTGGCGTGCGCCTTGATGTCGTCAGACAAAGGGGGAGGGACCTACAGTTTTATACCGACTCCGAACGGCGATTGTGCTTATGAGAAGCCTTTTTTCATGGCAGAAATACACTCGGAGGTTCGCCACTCACTGCCTACCGAGGGACGACCACTGTTAAGAAAAAAACGAGTTTTCCACTTTTTTTTCGATGTTTCTTTGACCAAGGCTTGAAAGCAGACCCTGAGGAGTGGAGGCGCGCACTGCTTACCACTACATCACAGCAGTGCATGTTTTATAGGTCCGCCAAAAACCCCAGAAAATGCAATCAAGGGACCAATAAAATATCTTTAGTACTAAAAAATGGTTAAATAAACAATGGGGTATTGTTATTTGAAGTCTGCTGAAGAGAACCAGAGTTTTTCAATCGAAAAATATTGACTTTCAAGAATTTTATACCATTTCTACGAAAAGGTTTTTTCCATATAAAATACATGGAAAACTTGTTGTTGATTTCGAAATTAAAAATATAAAATTCCGACTTTACTTTTTTTTGACCTATCATACATATCGACACTACACAGACATTCTTTTATAACCAGGGAATTAGAAAAAAAATGTGTACATTAAATATTGTTGGATCGTATTTTGCTAATGCAAGTAACTACATGTATATACAAATGTGAGTGTAAACTCTAAATTTTAGGCTATTATTACAACTTTTCGTTAATTTCAGATTTAAATTTAAAATTTAAAACGTATTACATTAAATTTAATTTTAATTTTAATTTAGTCTAAACAAGTATATGTACATATGTACCACCGATCATAACATTCGAATAATAGCTGAAGGGAGTTGAAATGTCAGTGAGTACTTATTTATGAAAAATAGCACCCGAATTTGTCGCTCTTTTTAAATAGGTAGGTAGGTACATTGTCGGTCTTGTTATACATATATTATCGTCCTTGTTTTAAATTACATAACAATACAAATACATACTTAAGATATGTAGAATAGCAAGTAAGTTAGTTTAAGTTAGGAGTTGACACGAAGAAGAAATTGTTGCAGCACAACAACAGCCAATTAGGCGTACAAACTTGTACTATGAAAGCATTGTTTTAAATGCAAATACAGCAGTTACTTACTTTCATACCCTCCCATCGGGATACCGCACGCAACGGCCGAAGAGCACGCAACGTACGCATAGAGCGGAATGCCGGCACATCATCTGCTCCGGACCAAACCGCGGCCAAATTGATGAGTGAAAGCTAATATACCGTGCGTTTAGCAAGGCGAATGGGAGTGAAGGAAGAATCACATACATACATATAATACTTAGCTCTTATCATTTGGTTGTATGATGAAATTTGCCTACTCTGTTATTTATGTACAAATTCTTAGCCTAAAATACATATCTATACATATATAAGTATGTAAGTAGCAGGTTTAGGATTTTAACCAAAATTCTAAATCTTAATTACTTTCGTTAAATAGTTAACAAATTTCAACAAATAAAAATAGTGATATAAGATTAAAAAAAACATACTTCTAAAAGCACAACTAATATAAAAAATATTTGAAATAAATAATTAAAAGTCAATCAACGTTAAAACTAATTGTATTGAAGTATGTGTTTGGTTTTTATTATATTATTCTCCTGTCCGAAGTGTTTATTTGTACGTCTTTGGTGAATATAGTCTTTGTAAGAGTTATTCTGTTTATCGATTAAAAATCAGTATATGTATTTGTCACACAGATCATCGTTTTTCTGTGTTACTCTTTTGTTTTTGTAAAAGGATTGGATATTTGAAAACAAATAGTTTGCATTTTTTGCACAAAAGTTTTGGAAAACGGCCTTACTTACCATTACGATGACGAAATCAAGCCAACACCACGCGTTCGTGAAGTAAACCTTGAAGCCGAGGGCCAACCATTTGATTAACATTTCTAAGAAAAATATAACTGTAAAAATTCTGTCCATATAATAAAGGATATCCTGCAGTATTGGTCTTTGCGGGAGGTGGACATCTTCTAAGGCCTGTACAAATTGATATTGTGTGAATAGCCGAGGACAGAAGAAATTGAATATATAAAATAAATTGTTATTAAATTATGTATATAGTGTTTGTTATGTAACACAATTTGTAACACAAGATTATATAATAAATTTGCATACACTATTTTTCATTATATCAGTTCTAAGGATAATTATACTTTGGTTAAAAACATAAAATATGGTGTACCAAACTAAGTTTGTATAGCTTCAATTACTTTTCTCTTACATGTTATAAATATATGTATTTACAAATGTGTGTCTTAAATTCATAGAAGAGATTCAAATGAATTGTGTATGAGCGCTATTGATTTACGCAATAACAAAAAGCGATAAGAAGTATGTTTACATAAAACGTCAGAAACTTACCAAAGCTAAGCTACTCATTAAAATCATAGTGATAACAGCTGTTTCAAAGTATTTATTTTCAATTAATTGAAAAGTTTTCAGTCGTAAATTGCCCCATCCTTGCCAAAAAGGCGAATCTTCGTCACCAGCTAATATTGGAAACTTCTTATAATATGAGTCCGGACAGCAATCAGCCGGGTATTCGTCAAGAATATCGGTTTCGTTTGCTTGTATTATAATGTCTCCATCAAGTGGTCCTTCTTCACATTCACCGTCCTCGTCTAGTTCTTCGTCCAGACCAAGGTCTTCTTTACTGGCATCACGTTTCTCCTCACCCTCCATTGTTTCTGCACTCCCTTTGTGGCTTTCGTCTTTAAATGGTCGATTTTTATGGCTACCATATGAGTTGATGCTGGCAGTGTCGTCGTCCTGTAAGGACAAACCTCTATGGTTTAGCTCATGTTCCAGTCTATTGTCTTGGTGGTTAATTGAGTTTCCAATCATCTGCAGGAGAGCAAACTTATATTCACCAAACTGGTTTATATATTAATAGTCCGATATGTACATATACTACGTACATACATATATGTAAGTATGTACATAAAAATGCATATTGTCGCACTTCTGCGTTTACCTTGTACTCTACTATGGAGTCGCTTCAAAGAAATCAATAGGGCATAATATTTACACATTCTTCTTCAGTAAATCACAAGCAACTATTATTTTTGACCTTTTTATAGAAATTTTACTAGACAATGTAGAGTGGCGAAAATAAATGTAAATAAAGAAGAGACATTTTAGCATTCTTTGGCTACTTCGTTTATTTAATATTTATTATTTTTTTATGAAGGTGTATCTAATCAAAACCATGTAAGTCAAAATTTCAAACTTTGATACAAATTATCAAAATTCGACACACTTCCATAAAAATTTTAAGCTTTTTAATTAGATTTTTTAGAAACATTCTCATTATGCAGTTTTGTGAATGGCCTACAAAACTGTATAGTCAGAATATTTCTAAGATGGTATAATTTTAGTACAGCAAAGTTGCTGATTTCTCCATAAACAAAAAAATCGAAAATACTTTGAAAGAAAATGCCTGAACAAAAAATTGCCATGGTAAGCGCAAGCTACTTCAAGCTTGCACTTTATTATATTAAAATTGAATGGACTTACTCCAAAAAAAATCTGATTAAAAAGTTTCAAATTTTTGTTGAATATTTGTTAAAATTCATCGAATCTCACAAGCTTTTATTATGTTTCACCTTTCTGTAATCAAATCTTGCAATAAATTTTTAACCAACTTCCAGACGAGCCGTAGACTGGAATTTTTAAACTTAGTTCAGATGTCTATGATCAGGGAACGGATTTTTAGGACCTAAAACCTATAAAAAAAAGGCAAAATAAAATAGAGAAATACGATAAAAAGGCAATAGAAATCGCAAAATAATTAGTGCCTTACAAAAACCGAAAAATGATCAAAAATACATTAATTTTAGAAATGTTTGTTTTACAAGTAAAAAGAGAAAAGCTATTAACTAGTTTCATTATATGAAAAATTTGTATTTTGAATTTTTTTTCTCACGAGTTTTTAACTCACACAACTTTAATCTCTATAGTTGCAGTAACATAAGTGAACCATAAGATGCATTTTGAAATTTTCTGGCAGTATTTTCATTCGATTTTCACGAATAAAAGCCTTGAATTATACTTTAGAAATAAATGAGACTGATGCTTTGGCTTGATGCATTTCAGAGCACAACCTTTTTGAAGAGAAATACACAAACAATTTAACCGATAGCTGGCGCAGGAGGAGGAGATGTTTGGAAAACCTGTATTTATGGTCCGATTTGGTTCATATTTAGAACGTATATTAGATATTATTATTAATATTATTATGTAAGTCTGTATTACAATTAAAATTATAACAAAGTAAAAAGAAGCACTAGCTGCCATGGCTGCACAGTGGTTCGGATAGCAGATCTAGCTGGACGAAAGTAAAAATTTTTTTGTTTTTAAAATACTTAATGGTACTTGGAATACATTCCTGACAATTCATTCAAATAGAAATTGCATTTATTAAAGCATTAACATATGAAAACAAACAAAAAAAGGTAAGTCAATGCCGCCTATTTGAGAACTCTATTTTAAAAGCTGAAATTTAACTTAAAAGATTGCTAATTGCACTCACAGATATTTGCATAATTAGGGTTATGTGTTAAAACACAAAAATACTTGGAGTTATAAAAACTTTGGTTATGTAAGAGTTAAAAAAAATAGTAACCCGCGAATTTTCTGCTCTCTGAAATTAAAAAAATAAAACAACAGGCATGCAAATCTTTAAGCGCTGTTATAAATTTTTTTCTGAAATTTATTTGTGTTTCTTGCTGTGATCTTAAATTTTAGTCATGGTAAAGAAAATCTTAAGAAGTGAGTTGTTTGACATTTGGAGAAGTGTTGCTGATACTTCTAAAAGACAACAAGGTGTCCGTGATTATGTGATTAGTAAATTGAAAGAAATATCTGATGAAAATGTTCGTTCCGAAGTAAATGAAGTAAATTAAGTAAATGACTTTACATTCGTAATCAGCAACCCAGAAAACCCCCAGATACCCAGTTAC